GAAGTTGTCGCACCCGAGAGACTACGCGGACTACCCGGTAGAGGTCTCATAGATCGATTAGAGGCGTAGTTGAGCACTCTTGCCTTTTTTGAGACACTTTTTTCCCTTTATTCCGTTCAAATGCGAAATACTCAATTACCAGAATGTTCCAAATTGTCGTACAATTGTCCTGACACTTTCGTTTCTCATATTAGAGCCTTCAATACTTGTATATCGATCGAAATATGAGAGCTCGACGCCATTTTGGTTCTGGTCTGGGGTAAGTTAGGAAATTGTTTTCAAAAATCCAAGTTTTGGAAATGTCAGCATGATTCCTAGGTGCTCACGAATCATGTGTCAAAGTTTCGGACGGTTCGATCCAATACCCTTAAAAAAAAGTTTCTTATTCGAGTCGACTAAGGGGGGTTTCATTTCACTTTAAGGTGATATGAAAGGGTCATTGAAAATATATCAAACATCCAAATTTTGAAAGTGTCAGGATATTTCCAAGGTGCTCACGAGTCATTTGTCAAAATTTCGGACGGTTCTATCTAATACCTTTGAAAAAAAGTGTCTTATTCGAATCGACTGATTTGAGGGGGGTTTCATTACACCTTAAGGTGATATGAAAGGGTCATTCAACATCGTAGAAAACCGTCGACTGATTGAGGGGGATTTCAGTTCACCTTTAGGTGATATGAAATGGTCATTGAAAATATATAAAGAATCCAAGTTTTGAAAGTGTCAGTATAATTCCTAGGTGCTGTCGAGTCATGTGTCGAAGTATCGGACAGTTCTATTCAATACCCTTAAAAAAAAAATGTCTTATTCGAGTCGACTAATTTGAGGGGGTTTAACTTCACCTTGAGGTGATATGAAAGGGTCATTGAAAATATATAAAAAAATCCAAATTTTGAATGTGTCAGGATAATTCCTAGGTGCTGTCGAGTCATGTGTCAAAGTATCAGACATTTCTATCCAATACCTTTGAAAAAAAGTGTCTTATTCGAGTCGACTAATTTGAGGGGGTTTAACTTCACCTTAAGGTGATATGAAAGGGTCATTGAAAATATATCAAAATTTGAAATTTTGAAAGTGTCAGGATAATTCCTAGGTGCTGTGCTGTGCATGATTTTCCGTATACTTGGTGAATTTCATCCAGCTAACTTAAAATAATTTCACGTACAAATGAACTTATAAAACTATTATATTTTAATATTATCCTTAGTCTGACTCCTGATGTTCGCGTTTAGTCCGAATGTTTTGTCACGAAACGATCTCGTCAAAGTACAACAAGGGGTTGATTAAGCTACTGTACGTAATTATTTTCGCCGCCATATTTGATTCACATCCAACTACCAGGAAATAAAGGGAGACGTAAAGGCGTCGCGAAGAGACTTCGAGCGTTCTTTCTTGCCATTAGCTAAGTAGCCGCTTCTGGCTTATGTTAAGCATCAACGATTTTTTGCCATGACCAGCTAACGCCTTCACGAAATGCCTGAGGAGGGGGCAATCCTCCTCCATTTTTTTCTCCTTGACACCTTTCTACGGAACAACCTTCTAATCCACGTCTTATCTATTTATTCTATTTCAATTTCGAAGCTTTTTTCTTCCTTTTCCACATTTTCTACCGAAACGTTGAGAGTGGCAAACTTAAGGTGAAATGAAACACGTCGAGGAACTTGATCGACGTCGATAAAGAAGATTTTTCAGAATATCTGTATCTTGCCGACGTTCGTATTTGTATTGTTAGCTGGGTCGTATTATATTAGGTATTGTACTAAATGGCATACTTCATATGTCGTTTCCATACAATAACTATAAGGAAATCGAGGTAAAACTCCATGAAATCCCCTGGATTCATGATTTGTGAGGCCCTGATTGACTGCAGAGGGACCCCCTGCGCCATCTGTGGTTTCCATGTCAACTAAATTTTCACTCCGTGACCTCATATTACCATCGTTTTAGCGTATTTGTTGTACTTTATGTAGACGATTTATCCGAATTTATTTAAGGGATATATTTTACGGTGTTCTCAAATTTCTGTTTATGCGAATATTTACGTAGACGAACTATCCGAATTTATTTAACGGGGTTATTCTACGGTGTTCTCAAATTTCGGTTTATGGGAATATTTACGTAGACGAATTATCAGAATTTATTTAAGGGAGGTATTTTACGGTGTTCTCAAATTTTGGTTTACGGGTATATTTACGTAGACGAATTATCCGAATTTACTTAAGGGAGGTATTTTACGGTGTTCTCAAATTTCGGTTTATGGGAATATTTACGTAGACGAATTATCAGAATTTATTTAAGGGAGGTATTTTACGGTGTTCTCAAATTTTGGTTTACGGGTATATTTACGTAGACGAATTATCCGAATTTACTTAAGGGAGGTATTTTACGGTGTTCTCAAATTTCGGTTTATGGGAATATTTACGTAGACGAATTATCCGAATTTACTTAAGGGGGTTATTTTACGGTGTTCTTAAATTTCGGTTTATGGGAATATTTACGTAGACGAATTATCCGAATTTACTTAAGGGAGGTATTTTGCGGTGTTCTTAGATTTCTGTTTATGAGAATATTTACGTAGATTAATTATCAGAATTTATTTAAGGGAGGTATTTTACGGTGTTCTCAAATTTTGGTTTACGGGTATATTTACGTAGACGAATTATCCGAATATACTTAAGGGGGTTATTTTACGGTGTTCTCAAATTTTAGGTTATGGGCATATTTACGTAGACGAATTATCCGAATTTATTTAAGGGAGGTATTTTGCGGTGTTCGAGGGACTCGCACGTCTCACGGTCGACTTATTTATCCCCCTGAAAGGGTGAAATGGCTCGCCATATCCAGGGAGCATTTCGACAGGGGTGAGAAGACCGGCGGAATCAGAAAGACAAGGGGGTGTTCCGAGGGATGAAACTACGTCATTTCCTTCGAGCAGGAAAAACATTTCGGAAAACTCACCCGACCGAGATGGCCATTATTCGATTCTCTGCGAAGGAGTCGACTGGAGGAGGTGAGTCAAGCGAGAAAAGACAAAAGAGAGACCACTTTCCCGATTTTCTCGGAAAGCGAATTAAACGGAAAGAGGAACGTCGACTGGGGAAAAAAATTATAGCTCTAGACGCCTGCAGAAAGAAAAATGCGACCAATAAACGCAGTCCACATCTAAAAGAGAAACAACAAGCGGAACATTACAAAGGAATACTTTGCGAGACGAGGACAGGTTTTCTGGAAATTTTCATATTCTAAACCCACGTAGGAAAATTTCCAGTTTTTCCGGATTCTAGCCAATGTTCATCGATTATAATTAAGGGAGCCACTCTAGGGTAAAATTAAAATTGTGTAATTATAAGTAAATAGGGGACAGTGCGGCATAGTGGAACTTTTGAATTGTTGCTGGCCGTATGTTTAGAANACTTTAACTTAAAAATTAATGTTAAAAATTTTACGTTTAAAAATTCCTACTTTTTTATAAGAAATGTACTACACGACAGTCATCTTACCTATCAATAGTTGGCAACTTTAGTTGCAACATTAATAAATATACATTAATGTTACACATGCATGCTGCTACGGTATCCCGAAGTAAATTTTAAGGGAGTCGTGTTTTTAATGACAAACATCTTGAATTTTCTGGTATTTGAGTCATGCTCTAATCGCTGAAAATTCCTGAGACCGGCGTGGCATAATCTATTTATTTACTGGTTTATTCTCAGGATTTTGTAAATATAAAGTTAAACATCAAAATACGTTATGTAGAGTACAGTGGAAAATGTGCTGTGCAGAAGAATGGAACGCTATTTCTTTGCGACCCACGTGCTTTACAGTCGTTGTCTAATATAAAATACTATTTACACACGGAAAAAAATAATTTGGTTACGATTACTGTAGGGATATGATTAAAATTTTGTGGGAAGTAAAACCACACAAATGGGGAAATTTACCACATGGAATGGAAAATGTAACCTTGCGAATAGGTACTGTATCCATGGCGTTGCACCTGAAAGGTGCAGGAGGGATCACCATTTGGAATGGTGATATTAACTGCATAAAGAGGTTACAAATGCGCACAGGAAAATGGAAGGTTTGTCTGGGAACTGTAGCCACATTATAGGAAGGTTTTACCCGTTGCAGGGTTATTATAAACTTATCTATGTGATTGCAGAAACAATGGTTTGGTCCCATTAGTTCCGACAGCGCCGCCAGGTGGCAAAACAATTCGCAGGCGATGTAGACTGTTCGGGTGCATATCACCTTAAAATCGACGAATCGAGGTTCACAAAGTCCTCACAAGGTTACTCCCATCAGCAAACTTTCCGTTGGATCCGCAGTTATCGCTCGCAATTAGTCGAATTTCCTTGAGATATCTCAGAAACGCTGAGTTTTTTGGGTTCCTGTATCATTATTTTTCGCTTCAATTTCAAGAACAGAATTCATTACTTTTTCAGTCATTACTTTTCCCCTCAATTTTCCCCGTAAAGTGTATCGAAAGAACAGAATGTCTCAAAGTACCAAGTCGTAATTTTCGACACTTTCATATCATCTTAAGATCGACCAATGGGAGGTTCACAAAGCTCTCACCAGCAAACTTTCAGTTGGATCCGCAGTTATCTCTCGCAGTTATTCGGATTTCCTTGAAATATATAAAAAACGCAGAGTTTTTTGAGTTCCTGTAACATTATTTTTCGGTTCAATTTTTCCCCTAAAGTGTATCGAAAGAACAGAATGTCTCAAAGTATCAAGTCATAATTTTCGACACTATAATATCACCTTAAAATCGACCAATGGGAGGTTCACAAGGCCCCCACCAGCAAACTTTCAGTTGGTTCCGCAGTTAATCGAATTTCCTTGAAATATATCAGAAACGCTGAATTTGTTCAGCTCCTGTAACATTATTCTTCGGTTCAATTTTCCCCATGGAGTATTTTGGAAGGGCAGAAAGTCTGAAAGTACCGAGTCCTCGTGATTTTCTCTGGGATGATCCGTATCGTTTTTGTTTGCAGGAACGGAGCTGGTAACAAGCTGATCTGCACCGGGGCTCGGTAAGGAAGTAGCGTAATCTAACTTGGCGAGAGATACCACGCTACAAGTAGGCCGTCATCGAACTTCGTCGGTCCTCGACTTCATCGGGATATTTTTTATACGGCTCACGACCCAACCATACAAGTATACAAGTACGGAAGTGTGCACAAGTGTTCAGCCAACTTCATAGCCAATCATCGCCAAGGGCAAACCCACCATCACAAAGACTGTCGGTCGAAGGAAATCGACAGGACGTCGTTGTCGTCGGCCCCGAAAAGAATAATCGAGAAAAGAAAATTGGAGGGGGTGTCTCGATTTTGGAAGGATCCCTTTCATGATTTCCCTCCATTTTTTTTCTTTACCTTTCTATTTTCCACTCTTTTTTACCGCGCCTCGACCGAGTTATCCAGGATGTTCCAATGGCGCGTCGTGCGCGGTCCCCCACGATGCGCTGATTAATGATTAATAATTAATGTTAACACGTAACGATAAGAGACTATTGACATTTTTTTATGCACCCGTGTCGAACAGATCGAGACGCTTGTATAGTGTACATAGAGGACTGTTACCGAAAAGTTTGTTCAACGATGTGAGTCCTAGAGGCACCGAAGGTGGCCGAGTGTTATGGGCGGCTTTTTCTTTTTCCTTTTCGAAATGTTGGAAAGATCATCTTTATTTTCTTCGCGTCGCTTAAGATAAAGGTAGCTTTAGGAAGCTTCCTATTCTCTCAAGAAATTGTCCGAAGACAACTTCTGGTAATCGCAATCATTGAGTCTTTTGTTTTAAGGTAATGTAAAAATGGCGGGAATTTGGTAGAACAAAGAGAAATCATTTGAAAGCGCTATTGTTTTCCTGCGTAAACAAAAGCGGAAAAGAACAAAGGTGGCTCACTTTTGCCTTCTATGATCGGTTAAATCATTTCTAGAACGATAATCAATTTTCGTTTGATTCACGGACGTTAATTATCGTTCTAATCGTTTTTCGTACTAATTCGGTGCAATTACCTCCAGAAGAATTTCGCGTGCAAGGAATAATTATTGTAAATACCTAATCAGCTGTTTGGTAAAACTGGGGATTAGGGGACCCACCTTCGATGACCTTGACCTTGATGTATGTTGTCAAAGTCACCCTCCTGAGTGACCTACTGAAGGTTTTACCCGTCGCTTGTTGTGTGTTGAAAAGCTATTGATCAAATATTTTTCTTGAGTTGAACGTACACTTTCGGAATTGAATATACATTCAAATAGTCTGAACATACGACAATAAACCATGTACGTAATTTTGTGGGTCTTGAAAGTGGGGTTCACACGCCTTTGTACATTAAAAATGCAAAAAGATTACGGACATACTGCGAGGAAATATTTTTCGTTATGGTATTTACAATCGTCATTTTACTCATTATCTTCCTAAATACTTATTTAAAAGAAGAAATCATTTCGGCGACCGTATTAATGTTTTCTTCAAAATGTGTTAGGTATATCCGTTAAAACATAATTACACAATTAAACACGATTAAGTGAATTAGAATTTCATGTATTGTAACTAACTAAATTTTGTAGGTCTTGAAAGTGAAGTTCACACGCCTTTGTACGTTAAAAATGCAAAAAGATTACGGCAAACTGCTAGGAAATATTCCTCGTTATGCTATCTGCAATCGCCATTTTACTCATTATCTTCATAAATACCTATTTAAAAAGAGAAATCATTTCGGCGACCATATTAATGCTTTCTTCAAAATGATCAGTTAGGTATATCCGCTAAAACATAATTACATAATTAAACATGATTAAGTGAATTAGAATTTCACATATTGTAGCTAACTAAATTTCGTAGGTCTTGAAAGTGGAGTTCACACGCCTTTGTACCTTAAAAATGCAAAAAGATTACAGCAAACTGCTAGGAAATATTCCTCGTTATGCTATCTGCAATCGCCATTTTACTCATTATCTTCATAAATACCTATTTAAAAAAAGAAATCATTTCGGCGAACGTATTAACGCTTTCTTCAAAATGATCAGTTAGGTATATCCGCTAAAACATAATTACATAATTAAACACGATTAAGTGAATTAGAATTTCATATATTGTAGCTAACTAAATTTCGTAGGTCTTGAAAGTGGAGTTCACACGCCTTTGTAAATTCAAAATGCAAAAAAAATTACGGACTAAATTTTGTGGGTCCTGAAAGTAGAGTTCATACGCCTTTGTACATTAAAAATGCAAAAAGATTACGGACAATCTGCTAGGAAATATTCCTCGTTATGCTATCTGCAATCTCCATTTTACTCATTATCTTCATAAATACCTATTTAAAAAAAGAAATCATTTCGGCGACCGTATTAACGTTTTCTTCAAAATGATCAGTTAGGTATATCCGCTAAAACATAATTACATAATTAAACACGATTAAGTGAATTAGAATTTCATATATTGTAGCTAACTAAATTTCGTAGGTCTTGAAAGTGGAGTTCACACGCCTTTGTAAATTCAAAATGCAAAAAAAATTACGGACTAAATTTTGTGGGTCCTGAAAGTAGAGTTCATACGCCTTTGTACATTAAAAATGCAAAAAGATTACGGACAATCTGCTAGGAAATATTCCTCGTTATGCTATCTGCAATCTCCATTTTACTCATTATCTTCATAAATACCTATTTAAAAAAAGAAATCATTTCGGCGACCGTATTAACGTTTTCTTCAAAATGATCAGTTAGGTATATCCGTTAAAACATAATTACATAATTAAACATGATTAAGTGAATTAAAATTTCATATATCGTATTTAACAGATGACCGGTCTGATTCTGTCTATTAGCCTAACCTAACCCAAATCAACTGGAATTAAATCAGTTTAATACAATTGAGAATATTAATATATGTTTAGCCTTTTGTATCGTATTTCTAATGTTTTGGATGATTTAATTTAAGTTAATTTGGGTTAGGTCATACAGCAATACTCGAGTCTTTAAATGAATGTTGAACAACGAGAAACACAAGCAAACAACGAGTGTAAAACATTTTGAAGGTCACTCAAGGGGGTGACCTTGACTACATATGTCAAGGTCATCGGAGTTGGGTTCCCTAAACCCCAGTTTTTTCCTACGTTTATATGCACTTTTTCGAATACTGATGAAGGTTTTGTTTATCTAAAAAAAAGATAAGCGTGATTAGGAGATACTAGGTTTGTTCGCGTTGACTGCACTTTTTACACTCGAGGGTAATAAGGATATTACACTTTTCTTGAAAAGTGCAGAAGGGTAAATACACTTTCGTCGAACGCCAGAAAGCTCACGAAAGTCCAAGATGGCCGATTTAGTAGAGCGGTACCCGATTTTGAGGTTATCTGCAACGGACGATGACGAATACGAAAATGTAATGCTTCTTCCAGCCTTCTTTTTCAAATCCTACGATTCGTTCTATTACCTTGTAATTGTAGAAGATGGAAATGCATTTCAGGAATTTCAGATATTGAGGATCAATAAGGGTCATAATATTATTGCAGTAGGATGAAAAACAATTTAACTAGAACAGGGAAAAATTATAGTTTAGTTAATTCCAACCGCGGTTACGTAGTGATACATAATTATTGTAAACTGTTTGAAACATTACGTACAAAACAAACACCAAATCGTTCTATACATTACAAAGATGCATTAATAGTTACTTCTATTTATATTACGTTGAGACGTTAGCGTAAATTTTGTATTTTCCTGTTTGTTCGTCTTTTCAATTTTTAAATTTGCCGCCAAATTCGCGGGCTACGCGCTACTTGCACTCGCTCGGGATTGAGGGTAGATAGTGTACACGGAAAGAAATCATTTGGTTACAATTACTATAGGGACATGGTTTAAATACTGTGGGAAGGAAAACCATATAAATGGTGGAATATACCACATGGAATGGGAAATGTAACCTTGCGAATAGGTACGGTATCCATGGCGTTGCGCCTAAAAGGTGCAGGAGTGATCACCATTTCTAATGGTAATATTAACTACATGGAGAAGTTACAAATGCTCACAGGAAAATGGAAGGTTAATCTGGGATCTGTAACCACGTATTATAGTAAGGCTATACCCGTTGCGAGGTTATTCTAAATTTGCCTATGCGATTGCAGAAAAAATGCTTTGGCCCCATTAGTTTCGACAGCGCCGCCAGGTGGCAAAACTTTTCGCATGTGATGCAGACTACGCGTGGGCATATAAGCAAAGAAGACTCGTTACTATCCCTTACGTTTACGATATAACGACTCTACTCCTTCCCAAAGAAGAAGGAAAAGGGAAGTGATCGTCGAGAGACCACATTTTTAAGCATCAACTGATATTTCACTACTTCAGGTAGAAATGTGAGAACCCTGACAGAAACGTAAGTATAGCGTTCGTAATCGTAATAATTGAATTTTTTATGCATGCGGTAAATTTTTAAGTGAATATTCAGAACTATGCACAATGTTGGAGCAACTCGTTACTTGTAGTTACATTGACTAAATCGTGGAGTAACCCTTACTATGTTACGCTGGTTACATTGACTAAATGGTGAAGTAACCCTTACTAGGTTCTTTTTACTATGTTACGCTGGTTAATGCAACCTTCTCCCAAGGTTGTCCCGTATGTTGCCTTGCAATAGAGTTACAATTACCACAATTGTGGTTTTCCTAACCATTCTTTTTTTTTGTGAAGTAACCCTTCCTAGGTTCTTTTTACTATGTTACGCTGATTAATGCAACCTTTTCTCAAGGTTGTCCCGTATGTTGCCTTGCAATAGAGTTACAATTACCACAATTGTGGTTTTCCTATCCATTCTTTTTTTTCCGTCTAGAGAAAGTGTACACTCAGTGTATATAAACTCGGAAAATGAACTGCGTCACTTCCGCCAAAACGAACGCCAAAATGTAAACTTTTCGTAAAAGTGTAGAAAGTGTAGGCAAAACGAACAAACCTACCATAATCACTAGAAACGAAAGATCATCGCCGAATACCATAAATTCCTTCAATTTGTTTCCCTATGGGAATTAATTGCGCCCATAATTATGAAAGTGGTCTAAGTCATATATTTTTTGTTTCGAAATTACATTGAATTAATTTCGTTTGAAATAATATGGCATGAAATAACTGATAAACTCATTTTTTTTTAATTTTGACTTAGACCACTTTCATAATTATGGGCACAAATGTACACTTCTTCTGAAGGCAATTACGAAAATTTGTGAAATTTCCAAGGTATTCCTCCGTCCCTTTAGTTTCACATAAACCTGGTGCAATTTAGATTTCGATAAACAACCCTTAGCGGTCGTATTAAATTTATATATAAAAATATACATAGGTGTTTTGGTGGCAGAGAGTACACATACGACCGCAAAGGGTTAATATTCTGAAATATAATTCTCCCGTGCAAAGGAAATCCCAGCTCAAGCCATTAATTGGAATTTTTTACTTTTCCTACGATTTGTTTGTAAAATATTTTGTGGTCTGAAATACAGTTAAGGCGATATTAAAGTGTCATCGAAGAGGTTTAGATTATAAAACTTTTCTCTAAACTCGATTTACCGAATAGTGTGAAACTTTACAACGTGAATAGGGAGACTATAAGGAAAGTCCTGGAACTCATGTAATTTCAATTCTTTTCAAATTTGTTTATACGTGTTCTAAAACTAGTTCATAAAAAATGAAATTTCGCGAGTTTTAGGCCCTACCTTAGGGTCTCCATATTCACGTTTTAAAGTACGAAAATATTTGGGACACCCAGTTCGTAGAAAAGCTTTATGAACAATTGAGCTTTCGGATGCCGCTTTCACATCCCCTTAAAATCATTTACCGTGTAAATGGTTTCAGCATATGTTCAAGAATCTTCGTTTGCACGCATGTTCGCGAGTGCCAATTCGAGATGATGTTTTTTTTCCCGAAGAATCTCGAAATAACAAAAGAAAAATCATGTAATTGCTAGAGATTAGAAGACATCTCCAAGTACCGTTAATACTTCCCGCCAAATCGTAATTTATTCTCGAGAAATGACGTTTCACGGAAATTATTATTGTGTCTTTAAAAGTGAAACAGACTTTTAATCTCCTGAGATAATTTCTTCTGTCCTATTTTCATATCTCTTTGTTCCGCGCAATTATTGTACAGTCTCATACTCGGTCGCCGGTGTTTTTGAAGTGACTTCTACACCTTCCACCGTGGAAATGAATTTCATAGCCCTTTTGGGTGACTCGGATTTGAGAACTTGTTACAAAACTTTTTTATACCGTATTTTGTGGCCCGGAGCTCCGTTCGAATTACGTAAAGTGTAATAAAGTGAAGTGTAATCGACCGCAGGACACGTTCGACGATTTATGTTTGTATGTATTTTAAGTACCGCTTAAGAGGGTGCTTATTTCAAAAGAAATACAATTATACACTTATAAGAGAACAAAAAGTCGCTGTATTACCAAACATATCCCTACCCAATATTCTCTTATGCAACTTACACGTCATTTGTTTCCAATAACCGTTTCAGATAAATCAGGATAACACCTTTTTCCTTTCCACGTTTACCTTCCAGAGGCAGAAGTTAAGGTGAAGTGAAACACATCGAGGAACTTGATCGACGTCGGTAAAGAAGATTTTTCTAAATACCCTCGTTGCCGAGGTTGGTTTTTATATCGATAGCTGTGTCGAATTATATTGAGTATTGTATTAAATGGCATACCCCATCTGTGATTTCCGTGTCAACTAAATTTTCACTCCGAGACGTCGTATTATCATTGTTTTAGCATAGTAGCGTATAAGACACTTTTTTTGTCTATCACATTTAAATGCGAGTTTCTCGATCATCAGTGTGTTCTAAATTGTCGTACAATTGTCCTGACCCTTTCGTTTCTCATACCAGAGCCTTCGATAATTGTATATCGATCGAAATGTGAGAGCTCGACGCCATTTTAGTTCTGGCGTGAGCTAACAATAAGTTGAAAGATTTGTTGGAAAAATCCAAATTTTGAAAGTGTTAGGACAATTTCTAGATGCACACGAGTCATGTGTCAAAGTTTCAAACGGTTCGGTTCAATTCTCTTTAAAAATGTGTCTTATTCGGATCGAATCCTTTGAGAGAGATTTTACTTCACCTTAAGGTCAAGTGAAACACATCGAGGAACTTGATCGACGTGGGTAAAGAAGATTTTTCTAAACACCCTCGTTGCCGACGTTGGTTTTTATATCGATAGCTGTGTCGAATTATATTGAGTATTGTATTAAATGGCATACTCCACCTGTCATTATCGTACAATAATTATAAAGAAATCGAAGTAAAACTCCAGAAATCCTCTGGATTCATGCCATCTGGGGCCCTAATTGACTGCAGAGGGACCCTCTGCGCCATCTGTGATTTCCAGGTGAATTAAATTTTCACTCCGAGACCTCGCATTACCATCGTTTTGGCATAGAAGCGCATACAACACTTTTTTTGCCTTTTTCCCGTTCAAATGCGAGTTTACCGATTACCAGAGTGTTCTAAATTGTCGTAAAATTGTCCTGACCCTTTCGTTTCTCATATCAGAGACTTCGATAATTGTATATCGATCGAAATATGAGAGCTCGACGCCATTTTGGTTCTGGTCTGGGCCAAGTTAAAAGATCTTTGTTCATAAAACGTTTCATAGAACTGGGTGTTTCAAATCATTTCATACTTTAAAACGTGAACATGGAGACCCTAAGGTAGGTCCTGAAACTCGCGAAATTTCATTTCTTATAAACTAGTTTTAAAATACCTATAAACAAATTTGAAAAGAATTTAAATTTTATGAGTTTCAGGACGTTCCTTATAGTCTCCCTATTCACGTTGTAAAGTTTCAAACTATTCGGTAAACCGAATTGAGAGAAAAGTTTTATAAACGAAACCTCTTCCATACCACGTTCACATCACCTTAAGCCTGATTTATTCCCCTGGAAAAAAGGAAGGGCACTCGATCGAAGTTAATTATTAATTACGGGAGAACAAGATCTAGGTTCTTCTTGCAGTTAGCAATATCCCCGGGCTGACACTCTCGAAGGAGTCGGTGCACGATGCTTGCGTTTACGGTTACGCGTTAATTAGTCGGTGGAGGTTAAGGTAAGGTTAAGGTAAGTGGTAGTGGAAGGTTGGTAGGTGGTCCCAAAGGGTCGAGTCATCATTGGCTCATTTACTTCGGAAAACAATCTACCGCCAGCTTCAGTGGGCTTAACTATATTAAACTTGGCATCGCGTAATTAAACTTAGTTATGCCAGGGGTGCCCCGATGATACGCATCGAGGATCGGCCAAATCGGATGCTGGTAAGGCATCTCGATCGTTTG